CATCAAGGGAGATTTAGGTTAGATATTAGATATTCTAATTACAAGGATAGTTAAGTACTGGAATAGGTTACCAAGGGAGGATGTGGAATTCCTGTCAATGGAGGTATAGAAGAACAGGTTTGAGAAACATCTGTCACCGTAAGTGCCGACTCCGTGGGTGCTGCAGGGCTGGACGGGAAAAAAAAGTGGGTGCTCAGCACCCATCGGCAGCTCTGTCAGCGCCTGCCCCCCCCAGCGCCTCCCCCTCACTGGCAGCCCACCGATTAACGCCTCCCCCTGCCTCCTGCCTGCCGTGGATCAGCTGTTCTGTGGTGTGCATGAGGGACTGGGGGAGGGAGATGGAGGAGTGCGGGGAGGGGCGGAAAGAGGGGCGGGGCTGTAGCCACAGGTGGACCTGGGTGGGCCACAGGCTACCCACTTAACATCCAACCATGCCCACCCAAATCTGGGCCAAAGTCCCTCGAATCCACAGGCTGGGACTCCCGACCCTGGCTTGGTGTCTGTTGGCCTGGCTGCGTCCCTGTCCTGCTAGTGCCAAGTGCTGCTGCCCTGGTCTCCGGCTCCTGTGCCTGGAGTGTGCCTTGTTGGGCTGGGTCTGGGCGGGGCTAGTGCTGAGAATGGAGCAGAAGCAGCGCATGTCGCCGGAAGGAGAGGGATGTGGCTGGCCAGGCAGACGGACACCAAGCCGGGGTTGGGAGGGGCGGGTGTAGCTTGAGCCCCAGCAGTGCCCCCCTGTGCCCCATGGGCGTGCCCCGCAGCCTGTGTGCCCCTGGCAGCCTCATCTTCGGGTGCCTGCTGAGCAGTAAGGGCTGGTTGGAGGGAAACGGATGCCCCCTCCCTGCTGCCCCCCATCATTGCCCACTCACCCAGTTTTCCTGTCTGAGCTATGCTGGGGCAGGGTAGGGGCTTGAAGGAATGGAGTGGGGGCTGGGCCTGGGGCAGAGCAGGGGTCGAGCACCCCTTGGCAACTAGGTAAGTCAGCGCCTATGTCTGTCACATCTGGTCTAGGTATAGTTGGCCCTGCCTTATACAGTGAGATGGACTTCACTAGATCACCTCTTGACCTCCCTTGCAGCCTTTTGTTTCTGTGATTTGTTAATGCAACACAGTAGATTGAGAATCTGTGGAGAGAGGAATTAAATCATTGCATCTTTTTGTTATGTTATAGAATAAAAGCTGTTGAATAATACATCTTTAAAGGGTCATGAGTTGGCCTCTGTACACTTACAGTATATGAAGTTATTTCAATTTATATAATAGAAATAACATTTATTTGAGGGTAAACATTTTTTTCATCCTTTATTTATCTAACAGTGTGGTCTGTCATGTCTGAAGCAGCCTTTCTAATCTCTCTTCTGCTCTGCATTTCTTAAAAAAAAAAAAAAAAAAAAATCTAGCCTTTGCTGATTCAGCAACACTTTCCTTGCTGTTGTCTGAATCCAAAAAGCTTTGTTATTGTAAATTGAACTAAATAGTAAGAATAAAAATACTGAGATCAGCACAATAGGATATACCAATGATTAACCCAGGAGAGCTGATGCACTAAAAAAGAAAAGTGTTTGTGGGTCAGCTGCTTTTGTCTTCTGTTCCATTACAGCTTCATACATCCTTGACATTAATTTGTTTCTTGGCTGTTAAGGGAATACTTTAAATGTAGCTACATCTAAAGCCTGTATTTTACAAATTCCTCAACAGTACACTCTCCAAAATGTAAACCTTAAGTAAGCACACTGTTGAAAGTTAATGGCCCTTTATTCAGTTTCTGCTATGCTGCATGTATAACTTATTTTCAGACAATGAGAGGAAGAAGTAGTTTGGTGGTACTAGTCTCATATAACACAAATCTCTTTGTACCCTCGAGAATGCTAGTAAATTGCCTTTTAACGTCAACAAAAAATCTGAGTTTAATTCAAGTTTTGTGCTTTTGACATCAGTAATACTGAGCACGTTACGGTTTCAAAGCAGTGTACAAACTGATTATTCTTTAAAATATCCAGCTGAGATAAGTGGGTACAGATGGGGACACAAACAGAGGGCTAAACGATTTACTCCAGGGCTCTCATTGAGTCATTAGTGGTACTTGGAGTTGCTGTTCATTCTACTGGACCTCATGATCTGTCATTTAGTGACGCAGCATTTTTATGTATTGATTTAAATTAATCTTGGGTCATGTGGAAGAATAGAGAGTATCAATTTAGATTTTTAGTGGATTTCTCTACAATAGAAGCTTCAGTTTAGCACTAAAAATACTGAAATAACAGTTGAGTCCTTGATTAGTGTATGGAAGATTTCAATAATATACTTCCATAGTGTGCCTAAACAAATTCAACTGAATGACACTCTAATTTTTATTTACTAAATTATTTAAGAAATCTGTACCCATTTTTATCCAGCAAACAAAAAAATTACACCATGAGCTATTTATCAGATTTTTTTTCAAGATTCAGTTAACATGGATACTTCTGAACCTCCATTCACAACTTTCTGAAAAATTGCATCAATTGTAACATTCCCCATAAGGACTGGTGGTGTTTTATCGGTTATCTGGAAAAGTGAACTGTAAAGTGGCAGTTTTACAGATGAAAAAATATTTTGCTTATTCAAGAATAAATAAAACTGAGAAATTTCAGAAGGACTTAACAAAGTTAGGCCAGTGTCCAGCGCAATGGCAGGTAAAATTTCATTTTGACAAATACAGGATAATAAACATTGGATGGAATAGAGAGAACTACTCTTAACACATTGTTGGGCTCTTAACTTAGAAAAAAGATGTAGCTGTTACTTGGACACGTCAGTGAAAGTCTTTACTTAGTACACACCAAAACAAAACAAACAAAAAGTATAATGAAAATAGCATAATGCAATTATGTATCAATATGATGCCATCCCCTGAAATACTGTGTCAAGTTCTGGTCGCCTATCTCAAAAGAGATAGCAGAAATAGAAGAGGTTCAAAAACAGGCGTCAAATGATTAAAGGCCTGACAAGACTTCCCTGTGACGCAAGGTTGAAAAGATTGTGGCTATTAAATTTAGAGAGGAGATAAATAAGAGGAATGTAAAAAAAATAAATGGTATGATGAAGGTAAATTGGGTGCTCCTGTTTACCCTTCTCCATAGTGCAGGAGCAATGGGAAGTTTCATGACACTAAATGGCAACAACTGTAAAACTGATATAAACTTTTTTTTTTACATAATTAACATGTGAAACTTTACGCTAACATTGAGACCAAGAACCTAGTTACATTCAAAGTAGGATTAGATGTTTATATTGATAATGATACTGTTGACAGTTACAGAAAAACTAAATAAAACAGGAAGAAAACCTCTTTTAGGACGGATATAAACCCCATGCTTCAAGCAGAATCCAATGACTAATTGACAGACGTTAGGAAGAAGCCTCCCTTGTTGGCAGTTATTGAATATTTGTCTACTATGAAGTTTAATACACCTTTCTCTGATGCATCCATTACTGGCCATTGTCAAAGACAGGATACTGTAATAGATGGACCACTGATTTGGTATAGCAGTTTCTGTGATTTTCCTTTTTCCCCCGTCCCACCAATTCTGACTTTTCAACAGGGAAAAAAAAATTCCATCTGGCTCCAAAAGTTTCAGATCTCTAATGACTTGCTTGGGGAGTTACAAGGAATGGAATCTCGAGGTATGAAACAAAACAAAGACTGCAGGCTGATGCTTGCTTGGAGGAATAGGAGCCAGGAGGACAAGTCAAGGGCTTCCTTTGAAGAAGGAAAACAAAGGTGGCTGCTTTGGGGAAGAGCATCAGAGTTTCAGAAATACACCCCCACCAGCTTCCTCTCAGCTGCTGTGCCCAATGTGGAGGTAGTCAGAAAGCAAGAGGTTCTAGAACTTTTTCTCTTGATGAGGCCTGTCTGAGTTTGAGGGACAGAGGACTTAGAAGGCCCTAAGGCAGTATTATACTCCCAGCTGCATTGTAGATCTCCCAGGCTGGATAGACTGACACAGAGTAGCTCTGTTCAAGCTAGCATGCTAAAATGAGCAGTGTGGATGTGGCGGCATGGGCTAGCCACCAAAGTACAGACAAGGGTGGTTGGACCAGCCTTGTACTTGAGAAGCTAGGTCATGCCATCTCCCATGCTACAACATTCATGTTGCTATTTTGAATCTGCTAGCCGAAACACAGATAACGTGTTTGTTCAGGCTGGGAGGCTCCCAGCTGCAGTGTAGACTTATCCCTGCAGATCCTATTTTACCCCTGTGACCTCAGCTGTAGCTCATGCTGATTGCATTGGGGAAGGAGTACCAAAGGCTGGGAGTTCTCCCAGTTATTACTGTGTAAGTCTAGGGACTGTGCCTGAGTTAATACTCCCTTTTCTAATCCCAGAAATTCTGTCATGATGAGATTCCTGTGCAAAGCCCTAATGAAAACTTTTTTCCATTCATAATCCCAATCCAACCACCTGGATTTTCTAGTTAATATTATGGAGTTTTCTGTTATCTGTGTCCTTTTAAACTAAACTGGAGTTTTACTGTGTGAATTATTTCAAGTAACCCTAGCAGAATGGTTTTGCATGTCATTTTATATGATCTCCTGTGAAAACGTTTTAGCAAATCACATAATTGTGAAACACTAGCAAGAGTCTGTTTCAAACTAAACATGAGGTTTTGTCAGAGGTTAAGTAATGCCACGGAACAAGGAAAGCTATTTAATTTTCCAGTGTTTTCTGAGTTTCTAATTTCATGCATTAAAACGTATCCAAGAATTTATTCCTTTTTTACACACTGAAAGTATTGGTACATTCCAAAGTTAAAATACACAGAGAAAAGGTTGTAATTTCCTTTTATAAGAAGGAAATAAAATATTAAACCTTATTAGGGGAAGATTCGCTAAAGGGTTTACAGAGGTGGACCATATGGTATCCACATTCAGACTTCAGAAATGCTCACTGTTGCAATAGAATGTCAATTTACTTAAAATCAGAGCTTAAATTTTATACTGACTCAGTTTTTCTGTTATAGGCCAGAACTATGATGGCAGTTGGCCTGGGTGTTGCAGCTGTTGCATTTGCAGGTAACTGACCAGCCATCTGAACATGCGGTCCCAGTGTGATGCTGTGCCCAAAAAGGCTAATGTAATATATAAGCAGGAGCATAAGAAGTTGGAGTAGGGAGGTTCCATTTGTCACTGGTGAGACCATTACTGGAATATTGTGTCCAGTCTTAGTGTCCACCCTTGAAAAGGAATGTTGAAAAATTGGAAAGGTTCCAAAAAAGAGCTACGAGAATGGCTTGATGTCTGGAAAACCTGACCTAATGAAGTTGAATGTGTTTAGCTATCACAGATGATAAGAGATGACTTCATCACAGTCTACAAGTACCTACACAGAAGGAATCATAGAATCATAGAATATCAGGGTTGGAAGGGACCTCAGGAGGTCATCTAGTCCAACCCCCTGCTCAAAGCAGGACCAATCCCCAATTAAATCATCCCAGCCAGGGTTTTGTCAAGCCTGACCTTAAAAACTTCTAAGGAAGGAGATTCTACCACCTCCCTAGGTAACGCATTCCAGTGTTTCACCACCCTCCTAGTGAAAAAGTTTTTCCTAATATCCAACCTAAACCTCCCCCACTGCAACTTGAGACCATTACTCCTTGTCGTGTCATCTTCTACCACTGAGAATAGTCTAGAACCATCCTCTTTGGAACCACCTCTCAGGTAGTTGAAAGCAGCTATTGAATCCCCCCTCATTCTTCTCTTCTGCAGACTAAACAATCCCAGTTCCCTCAGCCTCTCCTCATAAGTCATGTGTTCCAGACCCCTAATCATTTTTGTAGCCCTTCGCTGGACTCTCTCCAATTTATCCACATCCTTCTTGTAGTGTGGGGCCCAAAACTGGACACAGTACTCGAGATGGGGCCTCACCAATGTCGAATAGAGGGGAACGATCACGTCCCTCGATCTGCTGGCTATGCCCCTACTTATACATCCCAAAATGCCATTGGCCTTCTTGGCAACAAGGGCACACTGTTGACTAATATCCAGCTTCTCGTCCACTGTAACCCCTAGGTCCTTTTCCACAGAACTGCTGCCTAGCCATTCGGTCCCTAGTCTGTAGCGGTGCATTGGATTCTTCCGTCCTAAGTGCAGGACCCTGCACTTATCCTTGTTGAACCTCATCAGATTTCTTTTGGCCCAATTGTCCAATTTGTCTAGGTCCCTCTGTATCCTATCCCTACCTGCCACCGTATCTACCACTCCTCCTAGTTTAGTATCATCCGCAAATTTGCTGAGAGTGCAATCCACACCATCCTCCAGATCATTTATGAAGATATTGAACAAAACCGGCCCCAGGACCGACCCCTCGGGCACTCCACTTGATACCAGCTGCCAACTAGACATGGAGCCATTGATCACTACCCATTGAGCCTGACAATCTAGCCAACTTTCTACCCACCTTATAGTGCATTCATCCAGCCCATACTTCTTTAACTTGCTGACAAGAATACTGTGGGAGACCGTGTCAAAAGCTTTGCTAAAGTCAAGAAACAATACATCCACTGCTTTCCTTTCATCCACAGAACCAGTAATCTCATCATAGAAGGCAATTAGATTATTCACCTTCCCTTGGTGAATCCATGCTGACTGTTCCTGATCACTTTCCTCTCGTGTAAGTGCTTCAGGATAGATTCCCTGAGGACCTGCTCCATGATTTTTCCAGGGACTGAGGTGAGGCTGACTGGCCTGTAGTTCCCAGGATCCTCCTTCTTCCCTTTTTTAAAGGTTGGCACTACATTAGCCTTTTTCCAGTCATCCGGGACTTCCCCCGTTTGCCATGAGTTTTCAAAGATAATGGCCAATGGCTGTGCAATCACAGCCGCCAGTTCCTTTAGCACTCTCGGATGCAACGCATCCGGCCCCATGGACTTGTGCACGTCCAGCTTTTCTAAATAGTCCCTAACCACCTCTTTTTCCACAGGGGGCTGGCCACCTACTCCCCATGCTGGGTTGCCCAGCACAGCAGTCTGGGAGCTGACCTTGTTCGTGAAGACAGAGGCAAAGAAAGCATTGAATACATTAGTTTTTTCCACATCCTCTGTCACTAGGTTGCCTCCCTCATTCATTAAGGGGCCCATGCTTTCCTTGGCTTTCTTCTTGTTGCCAACATACCTGAAGAAACCCTTCTTGTTATTCTTAAATCTCTCGCTAGCTGCAGCTCCAGGTGCGATTTGGCCCTCCTGATTTCATTCCTACATGCCCGAGCAATATTTTTATACTCTTCCCTGGTCATTTGTCCAATCTTCCACTTCTTGTAAGCTTCTTTTTTATGTTTAAGATCCGTAAGGATTTCACCATTAAGCCAAGCTGGTCGCCTGCCATGTTTACTATTCTTTTGACACATTGGGATGGTTTGTCCCTGTAACCTCAATAGGGATTCCTTGAAATACAGCCAGCTCTCCTGGAAGATATGGGATAATAGAGTACTCTTTAATCTAGTTTACAAGGGCATAAAAAGATGCAGTAGCAGAGATTTGATGCGCCTTTTTCCCAGTTTGAATTTGTCTAGCAAGTTTTAGCAGTGAAGGTAATTAACCATAGGAACAACCAGTTCTAATTTTTTATGTCCATGTGCGGAATGAATTTTGTTATGTGCAGCAATATGGAGGTGATGTGTGACACATCACCTCCATATTGGTGCACATAACAAAATTAATGTAGTGGGGATGGGGGCTGAGGGGTTTGGAGTGCGGGAGGGGGCTCAGGGCTGGAGCAGAAGGTTGGGGTGCAGGGGGGAGTGAGGGCTCTGGCTGGGAGTGTGAGCTCTGGGGTGGAGCGGGGGATGAGGAGTTTGGGGTGTGGGAGGGGGCTCAGGACTGGGGTAGAGGATTGGGTGCAGGGGGTGAGGGCTTCGGCTAGGGTTGAAGGCTCTGGGGGTGGGGCTGGGGAAGGGGGTTGGGGTGTGGGGGGGTGTGCGGGCTTTGGGGTGGGGCCAGGGTTGTGAGGTTTGGGGTGCAGGCTGTCCCAGGGCTGCAGTGGGGAGAGAGGACTCCCCCCAGCACTCTTTCACTGCAGCAGCTTGGGGCCGGGGGAGAGGCGTCTCTCCCTGGTCGCGCAGCTCTGGTGGGGCTCGGCTAGGCCTGGGGAGGGGCTGCTCTCCCCCGGCTGCTGCAAGTCCAGGGCAGGTTCGCACTGGAGCCGGCGGGAGAGGGCTCCTCTCCCCACCGGGGCAGATCCGTATTGGGGGAGACACATCTCTCCCTGTCGCAGCCCTGAGCCCCTGCGCGAGGCTTAAGAGGCAGCGGTGCAGTTTACAGGCAATTTAGGGAACAATTTACCAAGGGAAGTGGTAGATTCTCCATCTCTCTAAATCTTTAAATCAAGATGCGATGTTAATTTGAAAGATAAATTCTCGTTCAACCTTAAATTATTGGGTTTAATTCAGGAATTACAGGTTGAAATTCTATGGCCCATGTTGCATGGGAGGATCAGGGGTTCCTTCTGGCCTTGAAATCTACAAATTGATTTCTGTTCACTTCAGGTAATGAAATCACACCATATTAACTTGATTTCTTCGTAAACCTAAGCACACGCTGTCATGATTGAAATGACCTATGTAGACATCTTGATCATTAAGAATGAAAACAAAATGCTATCTGGCTAAAGCATTATCTTATTTTAAAAAATAATTAAAATGGCATAATGGTGACTAAATTTTCTAGTATATAGTAAGCAAAAAACAACCCAACCAAACAAAAAAATGATCATTCCTACGATGGCTCTGATGCAAATTCTGATACTGAACTTGGTAGACATACTCAATTCTTTCCCAAAATGGTATAGAATTTACTGACTGCTAAATAGAGCTCCATCCAGTCTGTTTTGTATTTAGAGAGGGTCATGGCTAAGTTGGGTCTTTAATGGTGCTGGATCCAAAAAGACTCAGTTTTTCACTAAATAAATAAGAATGCAAAGAATTACTCACTCTGTGTGATATTGGTGCAAAGTTGTATGAACACTAAGGAAATAAATTTGGAAACAACTTTGAGCTGTACTTATTTTGGTGAATTACATTACAAATGCCAGCTATAATTGCTAATTGCAATATTTCCTACAATTTACAAGGCACATATCTCAGTTTATCCTATCCAAACATATTGGAATATATTGGCCTTGGGAACAAACATTGTGAATCTTGCAATTTATTACTTTCTTTTCCAAACTTATTACCAGACTTTTCCCCTCTTCTTAATATAAAGATTGAAAAATGCAACCGATTGCAAACTCATCAGAGAACTGTTCTGGGCCTGACTACAAAACTGACAGCTCAGGGAACATCTTGAAAAGCAGTAAAGTGCAACAGTGCTTGCCAGCAAACAAATTACATGAAGAGATTAAAAATGGAGATGGCTTTGATTTTTAGACCAAAAATCCTACACTGGTATTATACTTGCAAAATAAGTGTTTGCACAGGTAAACCTCTGTAAAGGTTTCTTTTTTAAGTGAAGTTTGATTTTTTTATTATTATTATTATTATTTAATTGTTTTTCAGGTCGCTATGCTTTCCAGGTCTGGAAACCACTGGAACAAGTATTCACAGAAACAGCAAAGAAGATTTCAACCTCTGTAAGTTTAGAGATTATTTTACCATAAACAATTTAAAATTATATTTAAAATCACAAACATGATTTAAAATTGAAGAGAAACATTTTAGGATATCTAGTTAGGTTTTCCATTGCAAGATTATTCTCAACGCTACATGCTCCAGTGCTTTGTTCGGTGTAGTTTTAAATGCTTTCAGATGAATTTTTCTCAAAAGATGTTGGTGAGATCCAAGGTATGAGTTTAGTTCCCTAATATGACTTTCCTAGTCTCAAAATTGTTTGCCAGAGAGTGTATAAGGAATGTAATCATGGCCCCTTTAGCTATGGCAAACTTCTAGAAGGATCCAAATGACTACCTGTGACCTAAGATATCACTTTAAATGGTGGAAAATAAAAATCTCTAGTCACTTTTCTTTCAGACATGGCTTATAAAAATGTAAACAAATTGCTGGGGAGGTTTGTCGTGGTAACATGAAAAAGAATTGAAGCCTGTCTTCTCTCCGACACATCAGTTGTGCTTTTATCCAGTGTGTTCCAGCTAACAGGTGCCTGAATTTTTACCCAGATTACCTGTTTGTGGTATCTTTTCCTTCATTCTGTTATGTGCGTCAGTGGAATCTTTGCTGTGCACTCTCCTTAATATCTAATCTTGGCTTCGGTGACTGTGTCCTCTCCTGGAATCTGAGCTAACAAAGGTTTCTCCCATTCCTCTCTGTGGAAGCAAAGTCCCACTAAGGGGGATATTTGTTTGTTTCAATGGATCCCTTCAGAGGCCTCAGGATATGGACACTTCCGTATTCTTCGCAGTCTGGAATGCTCTCTCTGCAGGGGGCATGTTGACGTTTAATATTCAGCGCAAAGCATATTGGATATTCAAGTAAAAGCAAATCTTAGTCAGCACCACTTCCCCTTTGTGATGAGATCAAGGGCAGCAAGGTCTCTTCACCCTCCCATGCAGAGCTGTAGAATTTAAACACAAAAGCAAACAGCAGGTCATAGATTTTTCTCACACAGTGCTATAATGGCACTTCTGTACCAATGTGGATGGGGAGCAAAGGTGGGTAAGTCATGGAGCTTAGGAGAAAGAAACAAAATTGTGGAATCTAACTTTTGTGGGTACCATTATAAAATAAATTCTTACTGTTCAGGGACTGGAATTTAGGATGCGCTGCAAGTGTATAAGTGCACATTCACTTACACAATACAAAGGATAGGGCTGATATCAGAATCCATACACTGTCTGAGTCCAGCTGACGGATGGACTCTTTCTTGCTCTGTAGGTCTAAAAGATGCACTCAAGTCAAAGTCCCCCTCTCCCCGAGCTTAGACTACTCTTCTGCCTAGAATGATGTCCTCTTCTTCTTCGAGTGCTTGTTCACGTTGATTCCAATCAGGCGTGCGTGCACTGCGTGCACAGTTGCTGGAAACTTTTCCGGCAGCTCCCATTGGGTCGGCTGTGGAGCCTCCTGGAGTGATGCCTTCATGGCGCTCAATATATGACCCTGCTGACCTGCCCCCTCCTCAGGTCCATCTTACTGCCTGTGACAGTTGTCGGAAGTGCAAGTGGCTTGCTTGCAAGTTCTCCTCGCTTCCCCTAGCTTTCTAGTATAATTTATCTCAGTAGTTTATAGTTGCTCTAGTTTGATTAGTTAGTAGTAGTTTCCACTGGAAGTGTGGGGGGATTCCCCCTTCATCCCGACCTTTCCCCCTGGGGACCTCAGGACATGCCTCGATCCCTGGAGTTCAAACCCTTCAACAAGCCTGTGCCAACTGGTGACACTTGTTTAAAGTGTATGGGGGAGGCTCACCAAGCCGATAAGTACAGGATTTGCAAGGGTTTTCGACACAGGACCAAAAAGGAGTGGGATTTCAGGTTGAAGGCGACTCTTAAACTACAGTCCACCTCAGCACAGCAGGACCCGGCATGGAGCTCCTCGGTGCGGAGCACGCCGGCGTCGGTGGCAGAATCGGCACAGTGGAAGATCTCTGAGCACAGAGACTCGCGGCACTGCCGATCCCTCAGGCTTAAGATTGTGGGAACTGCCCAGCACCGGTCCCACTCTCTGGCGCCACAGAAGAGGCACGCCATGCAGGGTAGAGGCGGATCTCCTGTGAGACCCTCCCCGGCAGTCTAGGTCAATGGGGCACATCCCAGAGGGGGAGACCTGGCCCAAAGACCCTTGGAGTTGGCACCGGGAACTTCAGACCCTTGAGCCTGGGCCCGTTCGACTCCCCAAACCATATAGTGGAGGAGGTGAGGCTACCATTCACTCCGGTCACCTTTGAGGCTGCATAGGACCTCATTGCCATGACTGTACTGCAGTCCCCCGACTCTCCACAGCCAGCCCCCGGGACTGCCAAGGCTGCTACTGTCACATGGTAAGCCAGTAATGATGTGCCTGCCTGTGTTGCCAGGTCATCGATCCCTGGCACTGGAAAGGGGGTGCCGCTCTCGCTCGCGGCACTGGTCAAACTTGCGGCACCGGTCCTTGGATCGTCAGCGGTCCCACTCCCAGCACCAATCATCATCGCGTCCCCGATCCTCTCGGTACAGATGGAGGTCTTGGCACTGCTCCCTTTCCTGGCAGCACCACTAACCCAGCCAGCTCTGATCAGCACCACCATGGCCCTCTAGATCCTGGCCTCCATCCCCCTGGTGGCCAAGGGGGTAGCACACACATACTTTGTTCCCTCCAAGCGTTACAAATATCTATACTTCCGCCCTCAGCCCTGCTCCCTGGTGGTGTCTGCGGTTAATGAACTTGAAAGACAAAGGCAGCAGGGACCCACACATAAGTCCAAGGACTCTAAAAAAAAAACTCGACCTTTTTGGTAGAAAGGTCTACTCCACGGGGGGCCTACAGCTCAGGATTGCTAATCAGTTGGTAGTCCTGAGCAGATATAATTTGAACTCATGGAACTCCATGCTCAAATTTAAGGAGCTAATACCATCAGAGTCCAGGAATGAGTTTGGGGCCATTGTGGAGGAGGGCAAGACAGTGGCATGGACCTCTTTACAGGCCTCACTGGACGCTGCTGACTTGGCAGTGCATGCCTTATCCTCTGGCATAGCCATGAGGAGGACCTCATGGCTTCAAGTTTTGGGCCTACCCCCCCCAGATCCGACAGACTCTGCAGGACCTGCCCTTTGAAGGGACAGGATTATTCGTGGAGCAAACAGACCCCAGGCTACACAGCCTAAAGGATTCAAGGGCGATGATGAAGTTGCTGGAGATGCATACCCCAGCTTCTCAGCGAAAACACTTTAAGCCTCAAACCCCCTCAATATCCTTATCAACCTCACCCTAGGCAAGACTTTTCTAGACGACAAGGTAGGAACAGCAGGCATAAGCCATCTCCGCCCTCGTCATCACAGTGCCAAGCGTGCACCCCCTTGGCCTCCAAGTAGGTCTTTTGAAGATGCACGCGGGGACGACGTGCTAGACTGTATAGCGGATCCTCAACCCTGCTTTCAGAATAGTCTATCCCACTTCTATCCTGCATGGTCCCAAATAACATCGGACCGCTGGATTTCCCACACTATAGAAGTGGGATATTCTGTCCAGTTCTGCTCCTCCTCCCGTCTCATTCCTGTCCCTCTTCAGGGATCCTTGTCACGAGCAACTCCTTATCCAGGAGGTGCAATCGCTTCTTGCCATAGGGGCAGTGGAGGAGATTTCTCAGAAGCTAAAGAGCAAAGGGTTCTACTCCTGCTATTTCCTAATCCCCAAGGCAAAGTGGGGGTCTCAGATCCATTCTAGACCTGCAAGGACTCAACAGGTTCATGGTGAAGTTGAAGTTCCACATGGTCTTCCTCAGCACTATCATCCCTTCCCTGGATCTGGGAGACTGGTATGCTGCCCTTGACATGAAAGACATGAACTTTGATGTAGCTATTCGGCCAGTGCACAGATGATTTCTGTGCTTTGTAGCCAGCTATCAACACTCTCAATTCACGGTCTTCCCCTTCAGTCTGTTGATAGCCCCTGAGTGTTCACCAAGTGTATGTTGGTTGTAGCAGCATTCCTCTGCAAGAGGCAGGTGCAGGTGTATTCCTACCTCAATGACTGGCTACTCAGGATGCGTATCAGGGAGCAGGTGGAGTCTCAAGTCCAACTAGTCAGAGCTACTTTTGAGAGGCTGGGACTCCTCAGCGTGAACAAGTCAACTTAGTCACTGACTCAAAGATTAGAATTAATCGGTGCAATGCTGGACTTGGTGCAGGCAAGGGCGGTCCTGCCAGAGACCCAATTTCAGACCATGACAGACATTATCCAAAACCTCAGGAGGTACCCGACCACTACTGCGAGGGGATGCCTGAGTCTCCTCGGCCACATGGCAGCCTGTACTTATGTGGTCTGGCATGCCAAACTGAAGACTCAGACCACTTCAAGCTTGACTCGCGTCTGTATGCCGCCTAGGGCTCGACGGTCTGGCACCATGACCACAGATTCCAGGCTAAGTACTTGAGTCCCTCCAATGAGTCCCCTTCAACAGCCCCCAGCTGCTCTTGTCCCTAGTAATGGACACATCAGTTCTGGTTTGGGGGGCACATCTGGGAGAGCTCCAGACACAAGGATTATGGTTGCAGGACGTGCTCTCCCTGCATATCAATATCAGAGAGCTCAGAACAGTCTAGCTAGGATGCCAAACTTTGCTATCCTGGCTCTAATTCCAGGGTGTGGCAGTAATGACGGGCAACACCTTGGCCATGTTTTACGTCAACAAGCAAGGTGGAGCCCGCTCTTCCCCCCCTATGTCAGGAAGCCCTCAGCTATGGGAGTTCTGCATAGAATGCTTCCAGGTGAATGGAGTGGGCTATCTCCCAGGTGTGCAGAACAAACTAGCGGACAATCACGAGTGGGCCATGCATCCGGATGTCATATATTCCATTCCAAAGGTGAGGGTTTCCCCAAATCGATCTGTTTGCTACCAGGAGCAATAGGAGGTGCCCAATGTTTTGTTCCTTTCAGAATCACAGCCTGGGTTTGATCTTGGATGCGTTCTTGCTTCCATGGGGAG